TATATATATATATATATATATATATATATATATATTTGCATAAATACATATATGTATAATTTTAAAGTAGATTTATTGACCAATCCTAGCCCAGGCTGGGCCCAAACCCAACCTGAATACATCAAATTACAATGTGGGCTGGGCTTGAGTTAGAAAAATTGGACTTCACCTCAGACTCGGGCCTTAAGCCCAGATTTTAGAGTTGGGCTGAGATTGACCATAACCCGGCCCAATCTGCCTGACTTACACGCCTAATAGAACAACAAAAACTTGGCAAAACTTTCAAATTAAAATGTAAATCATCATTTAAAGCATGAGCATGATCCTTACTTACTAAGGTCTTTTATGAAGAAAACCAACTTTGCTTATGTGATAAGAAGAATTTGAACATAGCTGATCGAAAACTACTGTTGCTTTTAAATTTATGAAAGTCTACTGCCCTAATTATCTAAAAATATCATTTGAGTTAATTCTTTTTCATTGTGTTATACTTTTATTATTCATAGAAATTAAATGTCACATGTGCATTTCAATCTTAAAACCAGTAATTAATTGCCTGTTAAAATATAGCAAGTGTTGTAAATTAAATCTGCAATTTTTTATTGAACATATTTGATGGCCTACCAAAAAAAGAATATTTCTGATATAACTAAAAGCAATTAATATTGAATAAAGGCATTTTCATCGAAGTGGTTTCATTAATTTTAATCATTTGTCTCTCATGCAAATGGATTAGACATGCCTCCCACTAGCCTGTATGAACCCAGATCTGCTTCCTGTCCTTTCTGTTTTGTCCTTTTCCCATAGGATATTATTTCCTTTTCTTCTATTAGTCTACAGTATGCGAACCCTTTCATACAGTATTTTCTCCACATGTGCCAATTTCTAATAGAGATACACCCAATAAATTCAGTTCATCTGTCAAAAGCTGGGCCTTAAATTTTTAGTTAAACTTAGGCTAGAGAACAAAGAAAAGAAATAAAAGAAAATATATAATAAGCTTAGGCCTATCCTTTTTTTCTTTTTGTTGAAAAGCTTAGGCCTATTCAAGGGTCAAGAGATGCCCATGCGTACCATGGCCCTGAGACCCCAGTTGGGCTATCCGATATGTAACAACAATGGCTAATTAACTATATCAATCAGTTTGTCCCATGCCACTCCGTAGGTCATCACCCTTGGAGATTCATCCATCAGAGAGTGTAGAATCACCAAAAAACTATAGTTTAAGTCACTAACTTCTTTCTTGTTTTGAGCCGAAAAATACCCAAAAGGTGTTTGATAAAATGTGCTTAATTTTATAGCCATAAATATTTCAGTCATCAATCTTTGGCCACTAATCTCTTGACCTTCTCCCAGCCTCCCGTGCCCTCTCAAATGGTGTCCTCTAATAGTGAGAGACAGCCCACATAGCCGTCGTGGTTCTTCTTCAGACACACCAAACGAGTGTTTTGACCTCAAGGCCACAAGCCCCAACAAGTTGCTTGGGCACCTTTGTCTTCTTTCTGATGAGGAGCATTTGCTTCTATGGACCCACCCACCTGCTTCATTATAAATAAAATCTTCAGACAAAAACCTCCACAAAACAAACAAACAACCGAGGCCGTAGAGAGACCCATGTTTTCAATTATCTCTTCTTGTTTCTCTCCATATATAAACAAATGAAAATTATTCCAATCAGTTAACCCCCACTTGCATCATCATTAATATCACTCCAAAGCCTCTCCCGTTACAACTTGCCCAACTGTAAATATTACTTCGGCTGAGGGAGGAGTTGTGGGCCCTTCACCTAAGCCTCATCTCTCTCCACGCATGATGTCTTTCTTCTTAGTTTATCTGTTTGTGGACTTCTATATCCAGCTCTTCTTTCTTCGAGACAACCCCAAGAGCAGATTGACACAAACACCATGCAGGGAAGGCGGGAGGTGAGCATCTCTCTCTCTCATTTCCACAAGTACTAAGTTCAGATCTCTTTCTGACTAATTCCTAGCTTGTAGTGATTATACTAATTCAATCTTATGTGGTTGTAAGGTCATGTGGCCTAGATTAGTAGCAAATAAGATCCTACGAAAGAGATCGGGTAGCAACAATTTTGTGGCAGATTTTCCTGACAACACCGAGACCTTGCTGGAAATTCCATGCTCATCACATCATGTTTCTTCCTCCCCCAAGGCACAATTCAGTGATCGGAAGTGTTCATTCAAGTACGAGTAAGCTCTAGACTTTTATCTGATGATTCTTGAATTGGTCCATATGATATTATCTGGTGTATTCTAACTTGGGTTTTGTTTAATTTCTGATGATTTCTTTGATAGAGTGTTTGTTAGCACATGGAATGTGGGAGCCATTGCACCAATGGAGGATCTGAACATGGAGGATTTGCTGAACGTACAGAACAACCCTTGTGACATTTATGTTCTTGGGTATGATACAAAACAAAACAATAATTATGTTGGTTTAATTTTCTATCGACTCTGATAGAAAATATATGCGTTTACATTTCATATATTCAGGTTCCAGGAGATCGTGACTCTCAACGCTGGAAATGTTCTGGGCTCTGAAAACAGTAGGATTTCTATGAAATGGAACTCTTTAATTAGAGCAGCTCTGAACAAGAAAATAACTCCATCTGATATATACCAAGAGACTAAAGTCGGAGAGTTACAAAAAGTTTATCCTGTGAAGGATGGAAATTTGAAAGAAAGCAGTGTTCCACGAACCTTCCGATGCATCATAAGTAAGAAGATGGTCGGAATATTGATCTCAGTCTGGGTTAGAAGCGACCTCCACAGATATATCCGGCATCCAAGCGTCTCATGCGTAGGTTGTGGTATCATGGGTTGCCTTGGAAATAAGGTATTTCACTTAGAGGAAGAACCTTTGTTACTCTCTCTCTCTCTCTCTCTCCAAAACTTTAGCTTCTCATATTTGCCAAATATTGGTATGCAGGGCTCGGTGTCCGTCAGATTTTACTTGCGTGAAACAAGCTTCTGCTTTGTTTGTAGTCATTTAGCTTCTGGAGGGAAAGAAGGAGATGAGAGGAACAGAAACTCAAATGTTGCAGAAATATTATCTAGAACAAGCTTTCCTCGCGGTCCGTCACTTGATTTGCCACGAACAATTCTAGATCACGAGTATGTAAATTCAATCTATAGAAACAAATTCTTGCTACAAAAATCACATAAAAGTATAAAGCGCAATCCTTCACTGTTTGAAATTAAAATTCTCTCTCTCTCTTTCTCTCTCTCTCTCTCTCTCTCTCTCATGTGATTATGCTACCCATTTTTCTCTCTTGCGGGCTAATACCAGATTATTTTATCATCACTTGGAATAGATTAGTAAACTGAATTCATAGCTAAACCAAATTAAACCACCTGAAACACGTTCTGGGTAAATTAAATCATCTTGTTAATTAGCGATTCAACTACCTCATTTTAATTTTATTTTTTAAAATTTTCTATATCATGAAGTAATTTAAAGTTGTCTTCAAGCTAACTACTGCAAATTATAAATTTAGGGAAACTGGCTTGAAGTATTTCCACTAATTATGTCTGGTCCCATGCAGCCGGGTAATTTTGCTTGGAGACTTGAACTATAGAATTTCTTTACCAGAGGCCACCACACGATTGTTAGTCGAGAAAGGAGAATGGGACGTCTTATTAGAAAACGATCAGGTGCTAAATTCTCTTCTAAATGATCACAGTTATGAACTTCATAAATTTATAAGAAATCAACATTCTCTGTAAATGATCAGCATTCTGAAATCATTTCTCGTGAACGTAAAGCTAAGGACTGAGCTCACGGAGGGTCACGTATTCGAAGGGTGGAATGAAGGAGTAATTGAATTCGGACCCACGTACAAATACTGCCCAAATTCGGACGTATATTATGGGTGTCTTCAAGGTAAAAGGGGAGAAAAGAGACGAGCTCCTGCATGGTAAGTAGCAGCACCAAATCTCCATGATCAATCGACTAATTCAATTAATTTATCAATTAGTATTCAGGATTCATGTGGAGAAGGTGCTTGTATATAGGTGCGATCGGATTCTTTGGTTTGGCAAGGGGTTGAAGCAAAGCCAGTACAGTAGAGGAGAATGTAAGTTGTCAGATCACAGGCCCGTCTCGGCAATTTTCACTGCAGAGGTCGACGTCTTGAGAGATTCAAGAGGGTTTGAAAGCTACTTCTTGTCTGATAGATTTGAGCGAGTACCGAGCCAATTTGAGGTGTGCCCAACAGTTGATTTTTTGTGTAATGGTAGATCAAGTATCTGAATTTAACAGTAAGCAGCTGTTTTTATCACGCTGTGATCAGTCCTTGGCCTGAATTAATTAGTATGAGAAACTCCAAAGATCTTATCTGAGCTTGCTCAGTTGTACGTACTAGCTTGCTATTTGTTAGTGTACAGTTATTTGTTTCTTCTTTTTTTTAATTTCTCTCGTTATTTTTCCTTCTCAAATGCTGTCTAACTCTTCCCCTTCTATCATTAAATTCAGAAATATATATATAGAGTGGTTAGATGTCGTCTCTTCTCTGATGATCTTTTTTTTCTTGATCAATATGGGTAGGTCTCATGCCGCCCCACCAACAGATGACTTCTAGAGGTGATGGGTTGGGTGATATAAGGGGCGTTTTCCTCAATAATCCCCGGATACACATAATGTATTATCTTATATTATTCGCCTTTTTTGGGTAATTCATAATACAATAATAACTCAACTATTTTAATATTTGCATGAGCTTGAGATATTATATTGATTAGTGCTAAAAAAAAAAATAGATTATTTCATTATTTTGCATGTCATATAAGAATAATTTAAAACTTTTAAATTCTAAGATGAGCCCCTGAATCAACTCCATCATTCTCGAGTTGACTCCACTCCTGGCTTACCCCAAACTGAGTCAAAAACCCTAATCGGTGAGGTATGAATTGGAATAGAGTGATGCAAATAGTGTGGTGGGTGTGGATGAAAAGGACATAGTTTTGATACTTGAAAGTAAAATCTGATGGTGTCCTTTGTAGAGATATGTATTAAAAAAGCAATTAATCAGTTTTCTAATATTGAAGTTTGTTATGTTATGGGGGAGAACTTTTCTGTTTGTTTTCTCTCTTCAATCAATTCTGATAATTTGTGGGTCGGTGACTAGATTGGTTTATATAGTATTTTTCAATTTCCTGTGGTATTACTATTCACAAGATCATAAAAGAAAACAAACAAACAGTAAAGCAGAGGGCAAGTGGAATTTGGACCACCATACGCAAACACTACTATTGGTGAGCTGGTTGAATACCGATTAACCAGGAAAATAGAGGCAGAACTTGGAACCAGGGACGGTATTGGATGTAGCAAAAAATATGAGACCGACTAGTTTGTCCTGACCACCAGGTTGACCCAGCTGGATTAGTTTTTTGTCCACTATGTATTTCCTTATCCATCTCCTTCTCATCTTTTATAAAGAGAATCAGGTGCATGCATCTGATGAGCAGTATATAACCTCTCTGTGTAGTTGATGAATTGGATGGCTCCGCTCTCATGCTCAAGTTTCTGTGTTAAACAGGAATAAGATTGTGTTTGGTTCGTTTATTGAAAAATGCTGCCATATCAGCGTCGTCATATAAGCATTGGTGTTTATTGCATATAGGCGTTGGTGTTTATTGCATATGAAGCAAAATGAAACAACTATTCAGTTTTACTACTTATCAAATAAATAATAGAAAACTGAAACGCTTTGATTTTTGTGCATGGGGCATTTGGGAAAATGTCAAATTCTTGTTTCCCCCAACACCCCAGCGTTTCTTGAAACCAAATGTTGATGTGGCACACTTGAATGGGTATTAATCTGAGGTGGATAGTAAAAAACGTTTAAAGTGAAGAACTAAACAACAAAAACAAGAAATGTTTAAAGTAAAAAAAAAAAAAAAACGTTTAAAGTGGAAATGTACAAATAAATGGTCTATCCATAAATGGCCATGAAACCAAATACATACTAAATTAAGCTTCCGTTTTCTTTTAAGTATTTCTTGGGAAATACTTACTCAGGCAAGTGCATTTATTCATGTCCTTTTACTTCCCATGTAAATATGATAATGACCATTTTAATCATAAAAATCCATTATTAAAAGGGATAATTTTGTCCTATCTAAGTATTGACAACTTATTCCTTAAATGAGATTGTTACTTACCTACCTCGGAAATGGGTATAATCAAAGAAAATAAATTTTCTATAAACCCTACATAAATCTGAAAAAAAGAACATAAATATCTTGGTCAATAGGATTTTAATTTCCATTAAACAAAATGCACCCGATATGGGCTATAAGAACTATACAATATAGACAATATTGGTCAATAGGATTTAGGTTTCCCTCTTCTAATATGGTATGCCCATTTGACCCAAACCACTGCCACCGACAAATTTGATACACATGTAGAGAGAACCCTGAAAGGGCATTTAGAAGCTGAAAAGGGCAACACAATATAGACAATGTTGGATTAGACCTAACGTATAAACCCTACAACCAGCACCATGGTAGAGATACAAGCTAGTGAGCAAGTGGGCTTAGAATATGATTCATATATTCAGCTAGAGTTGGAAAGTTGCAGGTGCTGCCCTTTTATTATTGTTGTTGAAAGTTGACAAATCAGATGTTTATCCTGATAAGAATTAGAGAGTTGCTTACTTTTTTTATGGTTGTTGAAAGTTGACATTCAAAAATATCTTGAGAGTTGCAAATAGACAAATAATTCCCTGTTCCATTTTATATCAGATAATTCTTTGGAAAGTGTCAAGAGCCAAGAAATAGAATAGCTAGCGTTCAATATATTTATGTCGTCACATCAGAGTCTGCAGGGAGTTGTAGAACATTTCAAAATAAACTAGCTAATTATATATGAATCCAGGGTAAACTAACTATATGAAATATATGTAGAAATACTCCAAATCAATATATTTATACCATTGATTGAAGAAGTAGGACAAAGCCTTGTTTAAAATTCACTGGGTCAAAACTTTTGGTGAAACCATTGGCGAATCTTAATTCATTAGTGGGTCAAAAAATTGGGTGATAAAATACTACCACCGTTTAGGGAGACAGTCTACCAAACCCATAAACAGAGAAGACCAATGATCTATGCATTTAGTTGTTTATATGAAGGTTTTTAAAATCAGATCAGACAGGGAATCGTTATGGGTTTGGGTCAAAGGGTTTGATTATAGGACGGGCTGTTTTGACAAAAAAATTTAAAAAAAATTCAAAAAATGGTTAAAAACTGTTCTCAGGTCAAACGGTTCAATGGTTTGACTGCCCAGGTTAATGGTTCATTGACCAAATCAATGGTTTTTGGCCAAATAACAGTTTTGGGGTAAAACGGAGCCAGTCAGACTGATTTCTGATTTTTCGGATCCAACCATCCAGTCCGATCCGGTTTTGAAAATATTGATTTAGATGGACAAGATTACTTGCTTGATTGGTGTTATATATTCCTTCATCTCAGACCAAATTTTATGAATCGTGCTTCCATTCAAGCTTGTGTTTGAATTATCGGGGAAATGGAATTACAAATTCCACTAACCGGACTCCAAAAATGGGCTGTGTAAATCCAGAGAACAGTGCAATGGCCCAAATTTGTGGTTTTTTAAGGGGATGTTTGGAACTACGGCTATTTTTCAAAAAAGCGGTGCCACGTTAGGTCCACATAGGCATTTCAACAAACGCCCATGTATCTCATTGTTTGGTTCAGCCGATTATTAAAAAATCGGATATGTCTTGAAAATCGGGACCCCATCGATGCATGAAACGCCAAATTTGGTGTTTCATGCATTAGTGAATCGTTTCCCCCAACGGTGGACTGATATGTATCCTATGTGGTGCTTACCTGTCAGCACATACATGAAAAACGGTGATGAAAATCACCTTACCAAATAGTATACAGTTGCTCACTGCCTACGTGGCAGAAGCGTTTTTTTGTGAAAAACAGGTCTTAGAAGTATGGACATTTTTTCTTGAAAATCAATCCCAAAAAACGCCAACGCTTCGAAACACCATGTAAATCTTGCCATTTAATCCCTTTCTTCATTCACACAGGGAAAAAAAAATCTAGAGTAAATTACAACTACCGACTTGATCTGTTCGATTTTTCAGTTTTTCTTGTTCACCCCTATTATTTGATGGATACGCCAATGGGAGTTTGAAGAGAACTCCAATAGGGACCTTATAACAATTAATGCTCTCCTTCAACTGAAACATGGTGAAAATGAAATTCTATGTCAATAGTAGAGCAAGGTGGAGTTTTAGCGCGATAAAAACCCAGCATGGCACATAGATTTAATTTTATGTAGTTTTTTTATTAATTTAATTTTAGATATTTAATTTATTTTTAGATATTTAATTTAATTTTACAAAATTAATGGCGTAACTAATTAACCTATAATGACGGCTCTTCAAGTTGGTGGTTAAATAATTGTGTCTCGTGCAGTAATAACGACGATAAACTATTTTTAACGTTATTAATGTTTTACAACGACAATTTTTTTACTTAGTTGCTAAAAACCTATTTTCTTGATTGTTGTCTATGTTTTACTAAGGCAAAAAAGGCATTTTTGTTCTTAATTTCTTTCGAATAAGTTTATCTAAATTGATGTTAGGGTTAAAACTGCTATTTTCTACTTTCATCTAATCAAAGGTTGATTAAATAAATTAATTGTAAACTATAAGAGATGTTTTAGTAAAACAAAAATTATAAATAGGTTTAAGAAAATCTATAAAATTATATGGGATGTTCTAGTAAATGACCCTATAAATTATTATGACCTACTGGCTACTCCTAGAATTTAAATTTATTTATTACTTATTTTTATGACAGGGCAGGAGTCGGTCTGGATGGAAATGCTACATACCTCTATATCATGTTGGGTTCATGGGATCAGTTGAGAGTAAACGAAAGAGAGATAAAATGAAATATACTTTGCACAAGATTTGGTATAATTGAAATGAACCCACTTAATTTTATTTGCAAAGTTTTCACAAGAATCAGTTTATCATGAATAGAATGGTATGAAAGAAACTTCTACAACACTAGTTCAAAAAAAAAAAAAACTCTACTTTAAAAGATAGATTTAATTTTATGTAGATAATTAAAATATAAACATCTAATTTATATACTTAAAACACAGTTGTTTGTATCAGCTTATTCTCATCCACAAACCACAATCTCCCTTGTGGAACATGGACATTTTTTTAACACATCCTCAGTCTCTCATTTCATGGGAGCTGTGTGAAAAGGACACTGTTTTTACACACTAGGATTTGGCTAAAAAGTTAAATTTAAAGAAAAAGAAAATGAAGAAGAAAAAGTGGTGGCTGCCACCAGTCCAGTCCAAAGGTTAAAATTTTAACACATACACCCCCTGTATCGGGTGTATCATATCGTATTGGTGGTTAAACGAAATACCTTTTTAAGGCTTTCATAGAAGATTGACTTATTAAGTGTTAAGACCCCGCCGG